AGGATCATTGGGTGATAAGAAAGGTTATATCAACAAATTCAGGAGTGATCAAGGAGCTAGGATCGGAACTGGAATGAAAAAGTAAACAAAGATATAAAATCTGCATGTTAGGGAAGTAGCGAAAAAAAAAATTTTTAAGAAAGTGACTTCTTTTTTTAATCTGATTAAAAACAGAGCAAGAGGGCCCAGCACGATAGCACAGTGGTTAAAGTCCTCGCCTTGCCTGCACTGGGATTCCATAAAGGCGCCAATTCTAATCCTGGCAGCCCTGCTTCCCATCCAGCTCCCTGCTGTGGCCTGGGAAAGCAGTCGAGGACGGCCCCAAGCCTTGGGACCCTGCACCCATGTGGTGGACCTGGAAGAGTTCCTGGCTTCTGGCTTCGGACTGGCTCAGCTCCTTCGGTTGCAGTCACTTGGGGAGTGAATCATCCAACCATTGGGTGAAAGATCTTCCTCTCTGTCTCTCCTCCTCTCTGTATATCTGCCTTTCCAATAAAAATAAAATTAAAATAAATAAATAAATATCTACCTTTCCAATAAAAATAAATAAATCTTTAAAAAGAAAAAAAGAAAAACCAGAGCAAGAGAAAGACACACAGAATCAGGCAGTGAGAGAAAGAAATCTGCAAATGTGTGCAACAGCCCAGGCTGAGCCCGGCTTGAGCAGGAACTCAGGAGCTTCAGCCGGCTCTCCCACATGGGTTGCAGGGTCCCAAGTATTTGAACATCACCTTCTGCCAGCCAGGATGCATTAGCAGAAAGATGGGTTGGAAACAGAGATGCTGGGACTCCAACAGGTGCTCCTCTGTGTGAGGAGCCATATCACCTGAACCAGGGAGATGACTTTTCATTGGAAAGAATAGAATGCACCTGTGAAAAAACTTCAACATGAAATGATTCGGGGGCTGGAAAAGCCCTTGGATGTTCTTCAGTTTTATCTCATATTTTATACTTGAGGGAAGTCAGGCTTAAGGATCTGGGAACTTGTCAATCTGTGGTTGAAATTTCTGGATACCTAGGAAAGATATCCTTTCATTCATTCCTGTATCACGTTGCTGAGGTCAAATTGGGGCTTGCTGTCCTAAATAATGGACATGGTCTTAAGTAAGTCCTAAGTCCTTAGGACTTGCTGTCCTAAGTAATGGAAGATGGTCACTGGGCCAGGCGGACTTCACTCCACATTAAGATGTGTCTCTGGAGAGTCCACGAAATGTGACTATTCCTTTTCGTTTCCTCATGAAATTTTCGAAGTGCCCTCCTGTTTGTTATTGGCTGAATGCATCAAGCATTCCTTCTGGAACAGTCAGTCACAGAAAGATGGGTGAGGGAAGGAGGAGAGAATATGCATAATCCAGGGCTGATGTTCTCAGACCCTGGGGCAGCAGCAGGAGAGGAGGGGAGAGGAAGAAGCAAAGGGGAAACCTGGAATCTGTGGCTTGTGAGCCTCAGGAAGCCCTGTGACACTGGATTCCCAGATAGGAGGTCTGAAGGTGTGTTTGATGACAATAATGGGAGAGCAGCTAAGCCATTTCCATTTTATTTCTTTTGTAAAGATTCATTCATTTGAAAGGCAGGAAGACAGAGGTAAATAGAGTCAGAAAAACATCTTCTGTGTTGGCTCATTCCCTCAAATGCCCACCATAGCCAGGGTTGGGCCAGGAACTCCATCCAGGTCTCCCATGTGGATACAGGGACCCATCCTTGCTCCCAGGGAATGCATTAGCAAGCTGCTGGGTCAGAAGTAAAATAGAGACCTGAATTAAGGGACTCCTGCAAGGGATGTGGTCTCTCTAAGCAGCAACTTAACTGCTACACCAAATTCCTACCCCAAGCAAAGCACTTTCGGATGGCACCTTCATAGTCATTGTTCATCATTCTTTTTTTTTTTAAGATTTATTTTAATTTTTATTGGAAAGGCGGATATACAAAGAGGAGAGACAGAGAGGAAGATCTTCCGTCCAATGATTCACTCCCCAAGTGAGCGCAACGGCCGATGCTATGCCGATCCGAAGCCAGGAGCCTCTTTCAGGTCTCCCACGTGGGTGCAGGGTCCCAAAGCTTTGGGCCGTTCTCGACTGCTTTCCCGGGCCACAGGCAGGGAGCTGGATGGGAAGTGGGGCTGCCGGGATTGGAACCGGTGCCCATATGGGGTCCCGGGCGTGCAAGGTGAGGACCTTAACTGCTGTGCCACCGCGCCGGGCCCAGATTGTTCATTATTCTTCATAAGCAGCATTTCTCCATTTAACTCCATAAAAATACATTCATCCGAAAGGTAGTCTCCCTCTGCTCTTGTTTCTCCTCTTACATTATTCTTTGTTCTTTGTGGTGATGTCTAAAGCAGTAAGAATGACCACAGGACAGTTTTGCATTGGTAAGATGCAGAATCAAGAGGAACCCTGGCAATTTCTAAAAGAGCACCATGCATGAAGGTCCAGGAGAGGAGTGTAAGGAGGGCAGTGGACGTTGGGGCACTACCCCCGGCTGGCTTGCACTCCCCACCTGCTTGGGTTCTCCACTCCACCTTCTGCTTCCCAGTCTGCATTAAGGGGATTGCTAAGCAAAAGCAAATCCACGGAACCCTTCATTTGTGACTAACATCACAAAGCAGTCTGGCAGAGCAGTCAGCTAATAACAAGGGTGCCCTAGAACAATAATTGTTCCCATGCCAACCACACTTCCCATTTTAATGCTGACAGGAGGCACTGTGCACATAATTGTTTTGCATTTTGTAACTTTCATAAACCTTATTTTGTATACAAACAAATCTGTGGAAAATAGAGTGTAGCAATCTCCTGGAGATGAGGAAGGCTGGATGGCTAAGAAATTGTTGAAATCTATGAAGCCATTCTGCCAGTATGCATACTACAACATCTAACTGTTGGGCTTGTTTCTGTCTCCTCTCAGTAAAATGCTTAATCCGGATTCTGTATCAGTTTCATGTTGATATTCAATGTCGTGGCAAACACAGGCTATTTACTTTGTCACATATACTACATTTGATCTAAAATTATACTGTGTGATACAGTAGTCACCAACCTGCGTGGCTATTTAAATTTAAATGCAAATGAATTAAAATTAAATACAACTTTAAAAATTCAACTCCATGTCCTCATCAACCACATTTCAAGAGCTCAAAAACTTCTCATGGTCAACATATTTGACAGTGCAGATACAAAATATTTCTATTATTGGAGAAAGTTATACTGAAAAATGATTACTTAGAGCATAATTTTTAGTGCTCATTCTTAGAATATATGGCCAAAAAGAAAATAAAAGCCTGAAAAATGGTTAACCCTGACTTTTAAAGAATGTCAATAATAATAACTGAAAACTCAGTCATATGAAAAAATGTGTTTTTGATTTGGAATTTCTGTTTACAAATTCATGAGGCTTTTGTTTTTATTTCAGAGGCAGAGAGAGAGAGCTTCCATCTGCTGGTTCACTCCTCATGTGCCAAAACCAGGGCCAGGAACTTGATCCAGGTCTGCCATGTGGATGGCAAGATTCCAACTTGCCCAGTCTTCTCTGCTGCCTCCTGAGGTGAACGCCAGCAGGAGCCTGGAGTCAGAAGCAGGGCTGATCTGAGCCCAGGACCTGAGATGGGAAATGTTCCAACCAGCCACGCCAAAGATTCATGTTTCAGAAATCATTTACATGTACACATCAAAAGCACTTATTTGCATGACAACTTTCTCCTAAGCTACAAATTTGATCTGCTAGCATCCATCCTCTCTGTACTGAGTTCCTGCTGTGTGCCAGGCATTCTCCCAGGCTCTGGACTCGTGGGGTTTACACTGACCCCAGTGGGATGAGAGGCAAATATTAATTCTGTTTCCAGAGCCAGATACAAAGCTGCCATATGCTGAAGTAAGGCAGAAGATGAAAATATTCTAATTCTTAGGTTGTTGTTCATTAAAAGGCCATAAAAAGGGCCTGGCGCTGAAGTCCTCGCCTTGAACGACCCAGGATCCCATATGGGTGCTGGCTCTAATCCCGACAGCCCCACTTCCCATCCAGCTCCTTGCCTGTGGCCTGGGAAAGCAGTCGAGGTTGGCCCAAAGCCTTGGGACCCTGCACTCACCTAGGAGACCTGGAGGAAGTTCTTGGCTCCTGGCTTCGGATTGGTGCAGCTCCAGCTGTTGCAGCCGCTTAGGGAGTGAACCATTGGACGGAAGATCTTCTTCTCTGTCTCTCCTCTCCCTGTATATCTGCCTTTCCAATAAAAATAAATAAATCTTTTTTTAAAAGGCCATAAAATGTAGAGAATATTAAGAGCATAATGTCTGATTTTCCAAAGATTTATTTAAAAACAGAGATGGGGAGAGACAGAATTTTCATTCCATAGATGCCTGGCAAGTGCCAGGGGTGGGCCAGCTGAAGCCAGGCGCCAGGAGATCGATGTGGGAGGCAGGGCACCATGCAGTTGTGGCATCATCCACTGTTTTTCCCAGGCACATCATCCAGGAGATGGATCAGAAGCAGAGCAGCTCTGATACGAGTTGCTGGCAACGCCAGCACTGACTAAACCAGCTGCGCTACAATACTGGTCCTCTAATTGCTGATTTTAAAAGACATTTTCATCATCAACAACAAAAACTCCTTGCAAAGGAACTGAAAATATTATTTCTTCCCAATCCTATTGACGTGATCCTATGAAGGATCTTAGGCATCGTGTCTCACAACATCATTGTTCTTCATGGGGTCATAGACTGGTCCACACCAGCCTTGTCCACAACATTCAGCAGGTAACTGGGTGCACCCTGCTGGACTGTGAGGAGTAGGAACCCAGTGCTTTCAATGGCCAGCAGGGCGCATTTTCCTTTTACATTCACTGATAGGTTTATGTAAGACACACATACATTCCCCATTTTTTCCTTCCAACACAATAAGTTATTTTGTACATTACAGTGCAGAGAGCCGCCAGAGGGGGATGAAAAGCATTCGTAGGAGGTCCGTGTCCCTTGGAGGTGCGAGGCCCGGGGCGCAGCCTGCCGCCTTCATTAGCTGGGTCCCTTCTCTTCTTTGATTGCAGTGGCCTCACTCGCAGCTGCTTCTGCCACTCCTTCTGCTGGTGTTTTCCCTTCCTCCTCTTCCTCATCCTCTTGGGGATAGAGATCCGGGTATTTCTGCATACACTCCTGCATGGCCCAGAACTGGTCTACAGAGTCTGATTCCTTGATCTCCTCCTTGCAGTAGTGGAAGCAGGAGAAGGCGGATGTGAACTGCTGCCCGCAGGGGCCACTGGCCACGCCCCTGAGGCAAGGGCAGTCTCCAGTGGGCAGTATCAATCCATGCTCCTCGTAGGTGTTGTTGGTGTCATCAGCCACCAGCTCTGCATTGCTTGGAGTCTCATGATCTTCTTTGGTCACAAGTACATGTGGCGACTTCCTACCAGTGTGGCAGTGGTCACGCCGTGTGCTCTGACGGGGGCGGGCAGCTGCGAGGCCTGCCCAGACCTCCCCCCTCCAGGCCTTCCCGCCGTGCGCGGCAGGGAACATTTTCACCAGATGTAACATTGTTGCGTCTCATAAGGGTTGTCAAGCTGACCTAGAGTGACTGGGAGGCTGCATGCAGGTGAAACGCAAATACTATGTCATTTTATGTAAGGGGCTTGAGCATCTGAGGATTTTGGTATCTACAGATGAGCTAGACCCAATACTCTATGAATCACAGGCCAACATGTATATACTCCACACACATACACGTGGATACATATGTGTGTGCATATAAAGGGACACCATTTGCATTCTTCTAAATTCACCATGTAATACGTGTTTTCATTTAAAAATATAGTTGGAAATAATTCTTTAGTAGCCCTATTATAGCCCACTCAATAAATAAATGACGTGTTTTTTTCCCCCTTATGGAATTTTGCATTGAATATCCTTGGGAGGTAACTTCTGTGAGCAGGAATCCCTCAGTCAAGGCCCTGCACAGGATTGGGGCCTTTTGTGCATAATGCTAGATTCTATTCCAGAAAAACTGCTCGTTCACCCTTGTCCCAGCAGCGATGGGGTTGCTCCTTCCCCTGAGGACCCTCCCATTGTATTGTTCCTGGGACTACTTCCTTCTCCTCAATTTTTCACCCACTGGTTCTTGTCTTGCTCCTAGGCCACATCCTACCAAAGTCTTCCTGTTAGCTGTGTATTTCCAGGATGGATTCTGAAGCACTTGGCGGCCTGACACCTGGAGCACCAGGTTATTCTCTCCTGCTGTGCTTTTGCTCTACATTGTCACAGGGCCCTGGCGGGGGGGGGGGGGAAGCCAGTTCTGCCCAGCCCTCCCCTAGTGCCTATCAGACCTGGGCATGAGGCGCACATACAAACAAGTGAGCCCACAGATTTGAGAGCCTGGTGCAGAAGCCGTTTGGCTTGGTGATTTGCAACATGACACACGTAGCCAGCACCTTAGTTCCTTGTCGCAGGGCTGATGCTGGGAGACCAGTTCCTGCGAGCAGACCATATTCTCCAGGAACAGTCCCCTAGGAGCTATTTTTAAAGCGCCATGCCCTTTCTCCAAGTTAGAGCCAACCATAGCAGTGCGTTTCCAGGGTTCTGGGTCACCAGTGCCCTCCAGCTTAACTAGGTCTCTCCCTCCTCACAGATTTCCCCTGACAATTTCCCAAGAGATGTTCTGGCTAGTGGAAAGCCCAGTGCATTTGGGCTTGTCTGTGTGATACTCTCAGACCGACTCTCACCTCTGCCCTGGTCCCTCCATAGCAGCCAGAGCTTAGGGTCCGTGCATCCCTAGGGAATGGGCTTGCTGCACACACCAGGGACCTCTCCCCTCCAACAGTAGCTCTCTCCTTTGTGGCTTTCTATGCAGATGTCCTGCCTGGGCCAAATCTGAAACACGTGCCTGTGCTGTGACCTGCTGGGTGTCAGATGCCAAAATCTGACCCTTCTTTGCAGAGGACAGCTAACTTGCAGGTTGGAAAGCCAAGTGATCATGCCTGCCTTATTTCATTGGCAAATAATATATTTTGTCTCTAGGTAGGCACTTGATGCTTTATTTGGTGTCACCATCGCATGTGCCTGGTTGGAGTAGAGTGCTTAATTTTGCCTCCCACGTGTTTCATGAACAGAGTTCAATGATGGTGGTTGGAACCGGGCCGTCCTCCTCTGCCTCCCATTTCCAGAGTTGGATGTGCAAAATTTCCTGCCCTCTGGCTCCAGATAGCTGCTGTGTGAGGCCAGCAGCAACCTGAACCTCTAAGTTCCACGGGGCTCTGCTCCTGTTCCCCAGTGGCAGCTGCAGCTAGCTGCCTTTGGACCTGAAGCTGCACATGATCACAGGACAGTCTGGTCTACTTGGTGCCCTCGAGGCCATATCAGCAGTGGATCTAGGAACATGGTCCAGGCACATGCTGACCATAAACCCAGGGCTATGGGCACCTTCCCCTACGCTGTGCTCGAATATGATTCACTCCCACCACAACCCATGTTGAGGCTTGGTCACCAGCACAGCAATGTTAACAGGTGTTAGGACTGTGCAGGGAGGTAAACTGCTTTTCTCAGAAATGTTGGTTCTTGGGCCTAGCATGATAGCTCAATTGGCTAATCCTCCCCTTGCAAATGACTGGATCTCATATGGGTGCCAGTTCATGTTCTGGCTGCTCCACTTCCCATTCAGCTCCATGCTTGTGGCCTGGGAGAGCAGCAGAAGATGGCCCTGGGACCCTGTACATGCAAGGGAGTCCCGAAAGAAGTTCCTGACTTCTGGCTTCAGATCAGCCCAGCTTTGGCCATTACAGCCATTTGGGGAGTGAGCCAGTGAACGGAGGATCCTTGTTTGTCCTCTTCTTTTCTCTGTAGATGTGCTTTTCCAATAAAAATAGTTTAAAGAAAGAAAGGGAGGAAGAAAGAAAAGAAGGCAGGAAGGCAGGAAGAAAGGAAGGAAGGAAGAAAAAAAGGAAGGAAGAAAAAAAGGAAGGAAGGAAGGTATGTTGGCTTTCGTGGGACTGCATGGGTTTCTGTTGCCTCTTCCCTTAGCTGGCTGGTTTCGCTGGTGCCCCCACTGCATAATCAGCCATGTGGCATTGGCCCTGTCCTGACACAGCATAAGGTCCTTGCTGCATGAGGCCACCTGAACCAAGACCCTGCAGCCTCCAAAAGCATGAGCCAAAATGAACCTCTTTTCCTTTTGTTGAGTTCCTTATCTCAGGCATTCTGTGATCCAGCACAAAACAGCCTAAGATGTTCTGGGAGGAGAGGCCAGGCCAGGTGAGCCAGAAGGGGTCCTCAAGCACTGAAACACATTCTGACTTCCCACCTGCTCTCCCTTCCTCCTCTGGTTTTAAGATTTGAAAGTCACTGTAGATTCACAGAAATTTTTGAGTAATAACCCAGAACTTGAAATGGTGGCTAGAGAGCACACGTGTCAGACCAGACCAGAAGAGTCAGACAAGATGAGTGAAAGGATGGGGGTGCCAGAGCAAGCAAGCCCACGTGGGGACTTGTCCTCCCTTAGTCTCCTAACTGTAAGGTCATGTTTGCTAGGACAGATGATGTCACGTGTTATTCAGTGGTCTGTTAGTTTGATTGATGGCCTTCAAATATTTACACAAACAGCCTGTTCTTGCTCCCACACCTACAGAGATCGGAGGTGAGCCTGAAGTTGGAGCTGGGTGTAATCATGAGCAAGTTGGTCCGAAGGCTCTGAAATCCAGGGGGAATTCTAGGAGTCCAGGCGATGGTGACTGGAAGACTGCAGCCTGGGGGATTTTCTCCCGAAGACTGAAGAGCGTGTGTTCCCTTGGGACACTCAGCTGCTTGTTTGGGTAGTTTTTTCACTTGGTTCTTGCCCTTTTGGGGTTTTCTTTTCACATCCTAGCCAAATCTCTATGAAAAACTTCTCTGTGCCTTGGTGGGATGTGAGCTGGTGGGCCTGGGCAGCTGGAGAGCTCGGAGTCCTGGGACTCAAGACAAGGCCAGTGAAGCCAGAGCAGGTGGGTGCAGGGACATGATCCACACTCCCTGCCACAGGGTCCCGACACAGGACTGGCCAAGGACCCATCAGCCGCAGGCAGGTAGAGAAGGCCTCTGTTCCACCCTAATGCCCGGCTGTGCGCGGCTGCCAGGACGCACACCGTCAGGAAGTGTTTGCTGAAGGAATGAACATGTCATCTTCTAACCTGTGGCACAAAATAAACAGTTCTTAGATAATTATTTCATAAAGGATTACTTGGTAATACAGATATAACTGATGGTCTATAGTTATATAAGTAATATAGAAATAGAAACCATACACAATAAATTGTTTTTAAAAACTTATTAATTTTTATTTGAAAGGCAGATTCACAGAGAGAAGCAGAGACAGAGATCCTCCATCTGCTGGTTCACTTCCTACATGGCCACAATAGCTGGAGCTGATCTGAAGCCAGGAGCTTCTTCTGGGTCTCCCCTGCAGGTGCAGGGTCCCAAGGCTTTGGACCATCCTCTGCTGCTTTTCAAGGCCACAAGCATGGAGCTGGATTGCAAGTGGAGTATCCAGGACACAAAGCAGCACCTACATGGGATGTTAGTAGAGGATTAGGCAATTGGCCTTTTGCATTGCTGCCCTTTCATAATAAATTAGTGAGAGCATTATTAACAGAAAAATAATTTAAATAACATTATCAATTGTTTTTTTCCTAGGAAGTTGGACCATTTGGTCTACACAGAAGAGCAAATTGTGATGATGTGGCAGAAATGGAAAGCAGGGTGATGATTTCAAGCTCCAAGCAAGTACATGATGTAAGGACTTATTCCCATATCCCACCCTGGACCCTGCGCCATTTCTTCTTCCTCACTGCTCACGGAATTCGCGCCAATCCAGCTACCCACCAATCGGATGTAACCTGGCATTCCACCTGAGAATCCCACCCCAATCTCCCAGCCCCTTCCCCAACCCCGCCCACTCACCAATCATCCCCAGGCATTTACCTGCAGGCACTAATCCCCTGAGGCCTGCCCTCAAACCCCCACAATCCCCGCCCCCCCCTTACACCTTCCGGGCCTACCTGCATAAAAGGCCCCAGGTGTTTCCTTCTCTCTCTTTTCTCCTCCTGACCTCCACTACCTCCACCTTGTTCCTGCCCCGCTGGAATAAACCTCCAAGGATATTTCGTTGCGTCTGGTGTTTTCAGCTCACGGTAAAGAACCAGGTTGCGAGAATTAGCTGCGCGTAAAGTATCGTAATATCGTATAACCTAAAACTAGAACTCTTACATTCTTTTAAATAACTAACACATGAGACTTCTTCTTGGTTCTCTGTATGGGCAGCTCTGAGTTCTGAATTGTTTGCACTGCCCTTCCCCAAGACGCTTATCTTGCATTTGTAGAAAAATTCTTATACCACAGTAATAAAAACCAGGGGTTCTAAGACAGGGCTGCCAAGGAAGGTTGCATTCGTGATCTCTTTATTCCAAGCTGTTTGCAACATCCTAGGACTCTTGTGCTCGGTGTGAACAACTCTAGTCTCTCATCAGAGTCACCGGACACTTCTGCCATGGTTTGAGTGTGTCTCCGAAAAGTTC